GAGGGTGAGACAAAAAAAAATAATCTTTTTGTAGGGAAAGATTGTCCCACCGTGTCCAAACCACTCTCCGAGAATTAACTGCAACAAACCGAAGATAGGGTAATTCTAAATCCCCTAGTGAGCTTGTGAGGTTTAGGTTCTATATCAGAGTTTGTGAGGCGAATGCCTTAACGAGGGCTAAGGGGCCCAACACTCCATTTGCATTAGGTTGAGTCACATAGAGTCGATTTAAATTCCAGTCAAATCCATTGCATTCACTTACGTGCTAATACCTTTGGGAAAGGTATGAATTCTCTTCTTTTCTCCCCAGCTATGGGTAAATAGGAAGACAGACCGGGTTCTATGGCCTTAGATCGCAACTGGTCTACAGCAGAAAGAAATGGCAACCTATTGCGGGAAATATATGCCTGGTCAGTCATGTGTAGAAAGATACATGATCGCCGAAGCGTGTATCAGGCATGGCACATAACTGACTGACATAAATAATTTCCGTTTTAGTTTATCAAATTTATGCTTTAAAAAATAAAGCCAAACGACATTTTATTGAATTGTATATCCACCATTATTTTTCCTCACACCCAAACTAAGAAAGGGTTGTTTTTCGATCACAGTTTTCCTTCCCTTGGGCGACCACTTGGTAACACGCTTACGTGTTCAATCTAGATGATTTAGAATTTTCCTCTTCCTATACTATTTGCAAGCATAGTCTTGCGTACTATTTAACCCATAGATGGGGGTGAGTCGGTTTAACCCATTCTACGAGCATCAACAGTAACAAAACGAAGATAAGGGCAATTATAAATCCCCTAGTTACCTCTTGAGGAGTATTGTGCTATATCATATTTTTCTTTCTCTTAATTGAATAACTTATCGAAGCCTAAGAGAAGAGGAGGCAATACTCCATCAGTATTTATATTTATTTTGTTCGTTTATTTCATTCATAAGAGCATTTAGCGCCACTGCTGGGGTCACCACTTCTGTCTAGCTCACAATTGTGATTCATGGTGACATTTAAAGCAATGCAATAGCTCGCCAGTTCTTTTTTCCATCGGGGAGGTTGATATTACCCTGTTTCTAATCTGATAGTTAGATTTCTTTTTGAAAATAACCTTCTTCTATCCTTTGCCTAAAGGGGCAGACCCTATAAGGAAACAGGTAGTTTGAATTAAGAGTTTCCTTTTCCTAGACTTGTTGCCAGTCAATCTGTCTTGCTATTTTACCCGTAGCTGGAGGGGAGAGATACATTAATACTTTCCCAAAGCTATTAACACGTAAGTGAACGTATTGAATACGACCCAGCCTCTAACCACTATCCGCGTTTCCGAGCACACCAGTCTGTCAGGCCGGCTAAACACACCCTATGGCAGGCGCGTGTTCAACTCACAGAGCCCACCTGTGGTTCATATTGCAAATATGCTGAGCGGATATTATTTGCAGTTTTTGTGAGAAAGCGCATCTGGCGGGATTCTTTTTTGTTTTTTATTTTAACAAGGCCAGCACAGTCAAACCCTCGGTCACGATGACTTGTGATTTTTTGCTAACAGACAACTGGCAACTTTCGGAACAGTTCTATCTACTTAATTTCATTCACAAGGTTTGGGTCAACACTAGGTATAGTGTTCTATTGTTTAGGCAGTGTGACCACTTATAAAAATGAAGATTCTACGCTATATTCGTGGCTGTACGGGGAGTGATCGTTCGGCTGATAATAGGGTCCGTCGGTTTCTGTGTCGAGTCCCCTTGGAAGTACTGTCGAAACAATAAAGATAGCTTATTTTATCAAAGAGTAACTACTGTTATTTTTGGCAGTCAGAGTGCATCTTTCCCGAACTTCATTCCTTTTTGAACATACCCCGATACCCAGTTTCGGCCGACACCGAACAATCTATGCCTTACGATATGGGATAACAAGATAACCTGGTAGGAGCTTTTCTTCAATAGAGCATTTTCACAATATGGTACGAATGAAAGATTGACCTATTTTGCTTACCTGTTCTTTTTTTTTCTGATTTCGAAGATAAAATATGGCCACTCTGTCCCTCGGGATATAGGATAGTAAGATAAGGTGAAGGATTATTTATTCAATAGAGCATATTCACAATATGATACGAATGAAAGATGTACCTCTATTTTAGAGAGCTGTTCCTTTTCTTATTTCGATATTTCGGGATATGGGATAGTCAGATTTGGTGGTTCGTGTGTTTATTCAATAAAGCATATTCACAATATGGTATGAATGAAAGATTGACCAATTTTATAGACCTGTTTTCTCTTTAACACAACTAAGCACGATATGATATCTTCAATTTATTTAACTATTTTGAAACATTTTTTTAAAATATTTTCGTTTTTTTTTTTTTATATAGGTAATTTCATGAAACGTTTCGACTGTAATATTCAAGAAACAGGAGAACTGACTTTAAGTCACACTAAGTCAGTGAAGTACAGCAAGGTCACTGTTACATCACCGGAAGACAGTATCGACAGCTGTTACATGTAAAGGTCGTTTAACGAAAATAACTTCCTGTTTCACTTACTACTCGTCAGTTTTCAAGTGAAGCCAATCCGATTTTAAGGAGAGTGAAACAATTTTTATGGCCGACACATCGACATTTAAGTGCAATTCAGCATTTTTTCCCGGTAAAACAGCTTCATCAAGAAATTAAACCCTTTCCATTGTCTATCAACAAAGAACCGTGTTCTCATATGTGAAAGAGAAAGAGCTGGTATCTCAGAAAGAAAAATCATATTTCTCGGTAATCAATATTCAGTTAATTAGGGATTTTAATAGTACGTTACATTAATATACGTCACGTTTTTATTTGTATTTTGTTTACAATCATGGTCACCCCGTATAAGCCCCAAGAGTCAGTCAATCTAGAGGATTATAGAGTAAGATGCAGCACCACAAGCAATTTGATAATGTCACCAAGACGCCACCGGAAGTGAAAGAGAAGGATGAGGCTTTAGACGGAACCGGAAATTCGAACCTAAACAGGAATCAGTGAACAAACCTCTATTTCCGTTCAAAATGAACAGATAGGTGTGTAAACCGAACGATAGGCTTCTTGAGAAGAGAGAGATTGTAGAAAATCAGTTAAAAAGAAGAAAAAAATAGTGTTTAACAATGTTAAAATATTGTTTCAAAATTAAATTGTCTTTTCTTTAAATCTTTCACTAACTAAACAGACTTGTCCCCTCATAAAATATGGGGAAAACGTCTTTGGAAAATAACTTTTGTAGATCAGCATCTTCGAGACGTCTAGATCAGCATCTGCGACACTTGTCCGAATCGAAAACATTGATTTGTTATCGATTTAGAAGGTGGGGGGTCCATGTTTATAATATTCGTAAAATGCCAGATCGTTTTCTGGAATTTACAAATTTATTCATGTTAATATTGTATCAGAAACACGGGAAAAAACGTTTGAGATTTGAAAAAAAAAAAAAACCGGAAAACTCGCACTGCTGTTCATAAGACCAGGGAGGAGTGTGAACCGGGTAATAGGTGAATATATCCACACCAATTTAGGAAAGATGAAAAAAAAAATTAGATCATAAAAATGTTGAGTTTAGACGGAGCCGTTAAAAGTTTGGAGTTGAAGTAAATTTTAGAAGGTACCAGAAACCTGTTCCTAAACAGGAAAAAAACGATAAACCTCTACTCTTGTTCATAAAGGCCGGGGTAGATATTTAACCGGGCGATAGATTTTTGAAGAAGAGCACAATTTTCAAAAAAATTAATGGATTCCATGCCTAAGCGAAAAACTGTAAATATTGTTTTATGTTTGTAAGTGTAACATAATTTTTGTTTGTCTGTGTGGAATTTCGAATGGATATCGCCGCTTGAATTGGGAACACCACAAATGCTAAATGGTGATTAAAACAATCAAATACACGTCATACAAGATTAACCAATGAAAATCAAGCAACAAAAAGCTAAGAATATCAGAATTTCTTTCTTCTTTCACTCCATATTCCATTATCTGATGAAGCTTTAATAAAAGTGAAAATTGTTACAGCATTAAACGTTTCCTATTTGCTCTTTATCTCTCTCTCTCTCTCTCTCTCTCTCTCTCTATATATATATATATATATATATATATATATATATATATATATATATATATATATATTTTGCACATACTTACTCTAGCAAACGAAATGTAAGAATATTGCAAAAACTAAATAAAAAATTCATAAAACTTTCATTGTTTGTCATATTCAAGTAAACATGTGTAAAAGATTGTGTGCGCCAGTTCTCTGTGTTTGGTTCTTCAAAAACATATGGAAGGTTCTAAACAAACCTTCGGCACTGAGTATTGCTGCCATATATGGTCTGGTGCCCCTTCTGTTTGCCTCGGGGTTCTTGATAGGCTCCAGAGGCGGATATGCAATATAATTGTCCCTGCTCTGGCATCTCGTCTACAGTCAGGCAATATTTTCTTTCAAAAATGTATTGTTGGTAATATTTTTTTTGAAAATGTATTGCTTGCAATATTTTTTTTTTCAAAAATATATTGTTGGTAATATTTTTTTTCAAAATGAATTGCTGGTAATATTTATTTTTCAAAAATGTATTGCTGGTAATAATGTATTGCGGGTAATAAGTTTTTCCTTCAAAAATTCCTTACTGCTAATAATTTTTACAAAAATGTATTGCTGGTATTAAGACTTATTTTGACGATTTAATATGCATTTGACCGCATTTTGGGATTAACTATTTGCCCATAGCTGGGAGCCTAACAGGTGCTACCACCCCGGGTCATGTAAACATCTTTTGATTTTGAAACAAGAATTTTTTCTCTAAAAGAATTTTTTCTCTAAAAGAAAAGTTTTCATTTTCAAATGAATAAATTCGATGCAATTCACATGCAGTGACATGTGTTAATCATATTGTCATCAGTGATGGGATTATACGGAGATACAACGTACGTAACATTGTGAATATGCCAATGAAGATGAGGATAACAGTCCAAGTAATGTAAATAATGCAAGTAATGATAATACCTCATCTCAGAGGTATAGAGGCTGAAACGTTGTGAATATTGCAATGAAGATTAAGATAGCAGTCCGAATAATGTAAATAATGCAAGTAATCATAATACCTCATCTCAGAGATATAGAGGCCGAAACGTTGTGAATAATGCAATGAAGATGAAGATAACAGTCCGAATAATGTAAATAATGCAAGTAATCATAATACCTCATCTCAGAGATATAGGCAGATATTGTGTTACTTATGTTTACTTGTACTCACATTTAGTCCGCCAATATTCTTTGTGAGATAAATTTTCCAGGATCCTGTAAATATCTACTATCGAAAATGTTGATTAACTCCAACATAATAGTGACTAAATGTTTACCCAATCAGGTAATCAATCCCTCAACAACCTTACAGCACGCCATCTATGTTCTTCTCCATTTTTTAATTTTAAAAACCAATTCACGGCAAGTAAGGCCACTAAGACACTAGTAACGTTCGAAATTGCTATCCAGTGCTTGTTAGCTTATATTCGTGTCATTGTAAAAGATTCTGGAAAAATGATCGGTTCCTTGTATCAATCCAGAAAATATCTACCTCCTGCCGCCATACACTTTCCTTACTAGAGGATGTAGGGAAATTATTATTATAGAAAAATAAAAATAAAATATAAAGTAATAACAATGAAAATTATAAATAAGATAAAATAAAACAATAACATAAAGACGTTGTATAAAATAAATTAAATAAAAATTAAAGATAATAAAAATACACCCAGCATGCAACAAAAAAAATGTTCCTGTCGAAAATACCGTCATCCCGCCAAAATTTGTTAAATCTCTTCACCACGAACCTCAGTACTAGCAACACGTGTTCGATTTCTCTCTGTGATATGGCTTATAATACTACAGAGTAAATTCTCCCTTTTATCACATGTACCATAAAACAATTGTAACCTAAAAAAAGAGACACAGCAATACACACAAAAATATAAATGAATCGTATGAAATTAACATACAATTTAATATGCTTTTCCTGTTATTTCTGTACATTTTATTTCATGTCAACTCTGCTTATATATACGTGAACACAAGGCTAATTTTTGCTGCTATGATGTAAGTGAGACCAGTCAACATTATGGTGTATAAGAAAAACAATCTATTCACCAACAAGTCAGACCAAAAATGGAGTATTTCTCCAATATAGTGCAATACTGCTGCCACAATTGGTTCTTAAATGACGAAAACTTTTCGAGGATTTTGACGTCATTCTGGATTTTTTCCTCCAAATCCGTGAATTTGTTTTGCTCAAGCAAAGTCTCGACAAAAACACTATATAAATTTCACCATTTTTTTTATCCATAATATTAAATGTTTCAACTTTCTTAAATACTTTTAACAAGAAAAATCTCAAGTCGACGTTAAGAATTGCTTCAAAATCATTGTTGATGTATTTAAGATGAAATGATCTACACTGTGTGCCAAATTATTATCGAGATAACTTTTTTTCTAATATTTCAAAAACCATCCAATCAATTCACACAAAATTTTCACACAATGTTGGCAACACTGACCTGCGCAATCACTGAAATTGCCGTACTGATCTGCGCAATGTAAACAAACTAGCGCCATATTTGTTATCAGCACGGTGATTTGAGCGTGCCAAATTATTAGAAAGGTTTAATAAAATTCCCAGAATTGATTAAACAAAAAGTCTATTAATGTTGCACGTGAATGTTTATGATCAAAAAAGCTAATAAATAAGATAATCAAACAAATAATAACAGATACAAACAAAGAAAGAAACAAGAACAGTAAACTCATGAATAAAACAGACATTATAGTTATTCCATAAGTCTATATTATATATTGTTTAATGTGATTAAATATATAATATATATATATATATATATATATATATATATATATATATATATATATATATATATATATATATATATATATATATATATATATATATATATATAATATATATATATATATATATATATTATATATATATAATATATATATATATATATATATATTATATATATATATAATATATGTATATAAATAAAAAGAAAGAACAGTAACATATAAAATCCGGTGTTCTTATAGATATTTTTTATTTTTACAAAATAGTGCTCAATGTAAATTTACAGAGCATTAATATTATAAATTAATTGATTTAAAATATGTTTTTTTTCGCTACATAGTTCCAACCATGTTTCAAAAATAGAAGCTAAAAACCCCGAATTTAATTTTGCAATTAAATTAAAAGCCTTAGTTCCATTTCATCTTCAAGCGAATTTTGGAGTAACTTTTAAAAATTACTGGGTTTTAAAGACACAGCTAAAATCACGTTTCCATGGTTACAGAATATTCTACTTAAATTGAACAAGGGGTGACAAGATTTTCCTTATGTCAGTATCATTGTATAAATGGAAAGCATAGAAAAAACAGATGTAGAAAAATTATTTGGTATACTCCCCCATATAACCAAATGGTAAAGAA